TGTATATACAAACTAAAATCAAGATTTTCCCTTAGGCAATCTGGACTGAAGCATACTATCTTAGGAAACCACTGGACTCTGGTTCTTTTTTTTTTTTTTTTTTTTCAGAAGCTCCTCTGCTATTTCCCTTCTAGTTTATATGCTACAAGGGCAGCCCAATAAACCCACACTGAACTGTTCCCTCAAATGGCAGCTCTGCTTTAGCTCAGTGACAGCCTCTCTCATGCAAAGCTTTTCATTGTGCAGCCACTGCTGGCAGACAGTTTCTTTTCCAGCTAAGTAACCGCAGCCCTTTGTTTCACTAAGGCTTTTAACATATGGTTTTACTTAGCACTAGCTGTCTGATTAGAAAATGAGCATTTTCTTCTTGAGCATTGCAAAACTCTCATTTCTTTGTATTTGTAATATTTTTATGAGATAGTTTAAGGTTTTGTTTTGTTTCCAGAAAGGAAAAATGAATTTGTTCTTTGCTCCATCTAAAGCTACATACATTTTTCTCTTGATCTTCTGTTCCCTATTGTCATCTTCTCACTTCTCTGATCTGGGCTTAACCTACCCCTCAAGAAAAATACACATCATCTGTCTTGCCTGTAAATCGACATGGACAGACTTTTGCAGAATGGGTGGCAGAGCACTTGCTATGGTAAAAAGAACTTTCACTGCAGTCTTCCTGACGTGCTTCAGATGTGGTAGCTGGTATAGGAGAGGAACAGTTAACTAGCCCAAAGATACACGGGGCCTTTGGAATTACAAAACTGATATTCATGTCTATAACTGAAATATGTATGTTATATGGTATAAAATGATACATGTCAGTCATTCAAATAAACAATGTAATCGTTGCAAAAATATTAGGTAAAGATTATACTATCGTAATAGCTTTCAAGAGATACTGATGCGTTTTCACTATGGAATCTACCCCTCACAAGACACAGAAGTACAATTTGTTTATGTTCTGTAGTTAGTATGTGACTGCTTTTAATATATAACAGACTATTTTAGACATGTTTTAAGAACAGATAGGAAATTGCTTCCTAAAGTGGTTTTTGTTCTAATTGAGCTGGATGCTAAAGTACACATAAAACTGAAGACAAGAGCAATTGGACAGGTTTGAGTTTAGCTATCAATATAGATGTTTCACTTTTCTGTGACCAGTGCATCCCATCTTCGTGGCAGCAGTACAGCCCCCTTGTCTGTGTTGGTTTGAACCCGTGATATTCCTCACTCAGCAAACATTGCCGGAAAGCTTTCTGATTTTTGTGCACACTACAAGCAGTAAACACGCACACACATGGCAGCACTCACGCACACACACACACACACAAAAACAATAAGTAGAATTGTTGTCATCTTCAAGACTGCTGCCTTAATCAGTTTTACTCCCAGATCAAGTGATGTGTGCCCAGTGTTTTTCTCTTGAAGACATCGAAATGACAGCCTAATATATCCCATGGAAGACAGCACTGGTCAATTTTGCTGTCTCCACGTGTAAAGAAAATTTTGGAAATGAGTCTACCAACCCAAAAGCCAATGTCTGAAGAGCTGTGCTCTTTTAGAACCTTGTATTACATTTTGACCTTGGAAGTTTCCCAATGAAGTCTACTTAACCAGGAAAGTTTACTGCTGAATGTATTAAAATGCCATATGTAAAGAGCATATTTTGGAGTAGAAATATTCAGGGACAAAATGTATTTTTAAATCACGGCAGTGTCCTTCATCGACTGGAAATATACTTTTGTATTTAAGCAATGCTGTACATAGTTTTCCCTCTTAATGTTTGTGTGAGTCTGCATTTGCTTATGTCTTCATTGGAATATACCTTCTTGATATACAAATGGCTTATATATGAGTCCTTCCTTAGTTTTAGTTATATTTCCTATTTGCTTCCTTTCCAATGTTTAGAAGCAGATTGTGCTTCTAGGCATAGTACTCCTGGAGAGTCTTGGAAAAGAGCTCTACCAGCTCCTCCCACAAAGGAAAGATTAAGTGGTTCAGGAAATTGCAGGTCTGAAAAATTCTTCATTGACTAAATGAATCAACCATGAGCATTTACCACTGTCAGAAAATCAGGTCACAGATACTATAAGCCAATTTTCTGCAGAAGTCCATTCAGGAGTAAGTTAATTTTACATTTCCTGCTTTCTTTAAGTTGTACTGGCAATGATAAAATGTTCAGGCTGAACAGTAGCTTCAGCCTTTGAATCTCTGGGATGATTTGAAATGACTTTGTGTTTCTTTCCAAGTTGTTCTGAAGCATGACTAGAGTTCTCATTAGAACAATCTCCATGCAAGGACTGCCTGCTTTCCAGCTATCATCCACCTCCTGCTTTCCATTTTTGTCTAAAGTAAAGCTGCATCCGGCGATGCAATGCTCTGTGGTTACTAATTACCTGGTCTGATTTATTTAGTTATGTGTTCCAACACAATCAAGTCCCTTCCTTTCCTATTTTATCTGCCTTAGTATTGGTTATAATGGGGACTTTTATACTGTAAATGGGATGAAAGAATGAAAGGGAGAGTATATGTAAAAACAGGAGCATTGTGCCAAGGATGAATAAGCACAGAAGTATTAAAGGTAATGTAATACATGAATATGGCTTCAAAGGTTTTGCATATATTGTCTCCTGAATGTTTCTAAGGAATAGTTACAAGGTTATAGATCTACTAAAAATATGTGGAAATTCATCTGCACATGACCCTAGAGCTCATAAGCAGCACAAATGAAAGTGGGATAAGTATATAGAATGTCTAAATAAGCATCAGAGAATACTTCTCAAGGCAGTGACATTTTAAAAGCAGACAGAAATAAATAGGAAATAATTAAAATGCATTTCAGGGACTATGCTTTGGCAGAACTGTTCTCTTTCCCAAAATGATGAGTGATAGAGTAAAATTACAGCTGCAATTGTATATTCCAAAAATTCAGATTTATAAATGAGTTGTAAAAATGCAAGGGCAGATTTTCTTTTAACCTATCTTTCTCTCTTCCTATCAATTAGCAAAAGAGAAAATTGGTATTTTCATGTTAACTCAAAAAACTGCAAATTTTACTGTATTTTATCCAATCCTGGCTTTCTTTTCTTAGGTCTCCTACTGTATTCACTTGAATAGACTTCATAGTACTTCATCATAATTGCTAGCAGCCATACACGACAGTGTTTCAAAACAGCAGTCTTTTTCTTCTGTATAGCATGGTATGAAATCTAAGCCTAGTTTAGTAAACACAGTAGGTAAGTATTTAGAAATACTTATTTCAGGAGAGGACAGGAATAGAAGGATGCCTAAAGCTCTCCAGAACCCTCACTTGATGGTTCTGTGCTCTTAGAGGTTTCCTGTATCATTTTAAACAAGTCATTTAACAAGTCTCTATAATTTCCCAGTGGTAAAAATGGAGGTAAGGCCGTTAATAAAGTGGTGTTGCACACTAACAGTTTTTGAATAGCATGTTAACTGCAGTTGGCTAGAAATAGATATTTCTATCTTGAGTGTAGTTCTCTGTACTTCCAGATTTTCACAAGAGAAGGAATATCCTGTTTTAGGGATAGATTTATACACTCCTTCATCTTGTGTTGTAGTCCAATGATGCTAAATGTAAGAAGAAAGAATCTACTGAACTTGACAGTAAATGGGCCTGGGGAGGAAAAAAGATTCTCACTATAACTGAAGAAGTAGAAGAAAAGGCACAAACCAGCATAAATCCTGTTGAAATTGCAGTGGAGACTGCCAGCTTGCCGGTAAAGAATGGAGTTTCTGTGAAACAGCATTTTCCAAAAACAATTTTTTAAGTTAGGAAATTTCCAGCCAGCTCGAATGTTCTTCTCATTACTGGGATGTTTAAGGTGCAATGCTTAAATCAATAGAAGGGGAAAAAGGAGAAAGAAAGAAGCAGTCCAGCATAAGCTACCATTTGGTATACTTTTAAGAGCTGACATGCCGATGTGAATTTTCAACATCTAGCTGTAGCTCTATTCAACTTCAAGTTTGTCAACTTTGACAAACAAAGAAAAAGCTAAAGTAGCAAAGACTCATTATATAAGAAAGGAAAATTGTAAATTAGGCCTATAGTTTGGGGTGTCCAAAGAAATTAATTGCATCCTTACAAGCGAAGTTGGCAAGCCGAAGTGATACAAGCACATTTGTAGACCACTTATTGTGAAAATAGTAGGGATTTCCTAGCATTAAAATCACCATTGCTTTGATTTTAAGAAAACTGTAGTGTCACTACGGTGTCACCACTTCTACTGCCTCCTACTCACCATAGATGAGCCATAGACAGCTGTTCTTCTTCAAAGAAAGAACTGCAAATGAGTAAGTGGCTTTGTATAGCCACTATAGTTCATCTGATAGAAAAAATCCGTGGCACAGTATAAATCAGAAGAGAACTGTAGAGTCTGGGATGAAGAGGATAAACAAGTGAGAGCTGACACTGCAGTGAATGCATTGCAACTGCACCTTGGCTTATAAGCATGAAAAATATGTCCCTACACCATCCTTCATCTGCCTTTTTTTTTTTTTTTAACATTATCACCTTCTTTTGTCTGAAGCTCTCCTTTACCCTTTGTGTCTGCAAAGATGAAAAATGGTTAGCCTCTCTTTTAAAGAGGTCACCTGTGGCAGAGATGAGACAAAAAGGCAAATAGCAGAAAAGGATGGAAAGCACGATGGAAGGTATTTGGTGGTAATTGGTTTGTTTCAATAGAGCCACATTTCTGGATTTTGTTCATAACTGGAAATGTTCTCTTCTTTTGCTCTGTTTTTCTTCCTGTGTGAAAACTAGCTTCTTGAGCTGCTACTTTTTATGTTCATCTTGGATCTTCTTCTGGTCAACATGGAATTTTTTGTGCAATTTTTAGCACTTAATTCACTGTGAAATTGGTGGGGATTTTAATTTCTCTCAGGTGACCCTTTAATATTCTGGCAATACCTCATTAAACATGCCACTTTATTAAATCTTTTCAGAAATTACTGAAATGGTCTCAATATTTTTTTCTTTATTGTAGGTTTCATATATACTGGAGAAGTTGTGCATCGAATGCTAACAGCCACACAATATATTGCACCCTTAATGGCAAATTTTGACCCCAGTGTGTCAAGAAATTCAACAGTCAGATACTTTGATAATGGTATGTAGTAGTCCTTCATAAATTAATGTGTCGGTGTCCCTTGACTCTTCATATTTTCCCAAATACATATTTTTGAGGGAAAAATGGAACATATTTCAAAATTTCAAAATATTTAACTCACAGGCTATATGAAGAATGTGGCTTAAACATGCATAAATGGTTCACAATTCAGAACAAGGTTAATGCCTTTTGCTAACTGAATAGTTGCCTTCTGGATGTTGCACAAATTCAAATGCTAGCAATGTGCTTGATCAATTTTTAAAAGGAAAACTGTCATCTGTATAAGTGCATATTCCTTTTACTTCTCTCTCTATATATATTTAGGAAATGCAGTCCATCTACTAGTTAAAATGAAAATAGCATTGTGGATTGTGATTATAAACATACACAGAGGCAGGGGAAACTATGAGGTTGAGAAATATGCCAATGACTATATGTGCATTGAGTTCCAGGATAGGAATCCAATATACTCATCTACAGCAGTAGTTCTCAACAGTTTCTTGTAGAAAAGATTGAAAAAGTAAAAGGCAAACTGCAATGTTATACTCGAGGCTTTGTAAAATATTTCAAGGGTCTTAAACGTGTGGATGAAATGAAATCAGTTACAATCAGCATTTTGGAAACTTGACCTATGATGTGATTAAATGACATCTGGTGCCTTATCTCAGGCCTCTATTCACCAAATACAAAGGCAGTGACTACGTATTTTGAATTTAAAACCTGGCAGGTAACATAATAACATATGTGATTATTTTAAATGTTTGTGGATAATCCTGGTCCATCATACGAACATAGCGCACACACTGAATTTAAGCACAGATTACAAATATGGCTAAAAATAAGTCACTTTTCCAAACAGATGTGTTATCCAGAAGCTTCATTCTGAAATATTTATTCCCCAGATCAGGGCATCGGGGATTAAAATATATCCTCTAATCATAACCTTTATCATAATTTAGTAATTATTTGTAGAATTTATTTGTTACAAAGTTAAATAAACCAAATTTACATGAAAAACACTGCTTCTTGCATTAAGAATATTCAAACAGGAAAAGAAAACAGTATTTTCATCCTATCAGTTATTTGAAACTCTGTCCTATGATTTGCCATCTGCACTAAAAGAATCTCAATATTCTAGGAATGATGATGTTAATTCTTTTTTTTTTTTTTTCCTGACTTACAGTCCTCATATCAGGTGTAGCAGCCTGTGTCACATTGCTTTCATGGTTGGGTTGAACAGTGTTTTGAGAATTTTCAACCCTCCTCATGCACAGGGTGTGATACTGTTTGGGACCCATGTGCTTTAGGACAATGAACTTGCTGTCTTACTCCAAATGAAAAGAAACTGAGCAAGTTGTGTCTTTACTTCCTTATTTCTTACTGATTCCTGCCTTATCCATCTGGACACATGTGCTACCTTAGGACCACTTCTAAAGGATGTAATTCAGTGACCTGTCCAAGTTTCACTCATGGAGCTTGAACTTGTCTCCAAGGAACTTGGAAGGAACAAGGAACTTGCCTCTACACATATTCGTATAAAGGATGCTGGGAGTGGAAAGGTGATGTATTGGTGGCAGCTGACCTCCACTTTAGTATGGAATTATGAGATGTACAAAAATCTAAGAAAGTCAAAGACTGATTATAAAAAGTTGGGCTATTTTGCTCCAAGAATTTGAAGTCCCTCAGAATTCCTCTAAAATTAAAGTAAGTATTCAAAAAGTATTTAATGAATATAGACACGAAAGGAAAAATGCACTGTGCACACAAGGAGCATGCACTGCACCAACGAAGGCCAGTGGTGGGATGAACTTACTGCAGTATGCCTCAAAAATGTGCACATTCACAGCTTCATAAAATTCACTGACAAGATATGTTAGTGAAAGTTACTGCCCTGAGTATCTGTCACAAAAGATGTTTCAAGGAGATATCAAAAATACATTGAGGTAGCAGCACGCCACCCAATCTCAGCACTCCAGCAAGAAAGGAAATTAAAATGTTGTGAATCAAAGCACATAACTCACATTAGTGGTGAAGAGGAGGCTTAAATATGAAAAAGACACTTTCACTTAACAGTTTTGGTGATGAGCGTCCTTCAGCCAAGCAGCCTGAATGTGTCTGTAACCCTCAACATCTGTAAAACGTGCTCACAGGGTATGCAAGTCGCTTGGGGTACATTTTTAGTGTGATAAGTGGATACTCAGCCAGAGAACTTCCATGAATATTAACAGGTCTCCTGCAACTAAATTGCTGCAGACCAGACTCAATATTTACCCTGTCCATGGATTCTTAGTGGCTTTAATTTAAACTACATTTATTTATTGCCACCACCTAGTATTTTTCAACTTGCAGTACCTCAGTGAGTGCCTATACTATGCAGAAAAAAATAATACTGTTTATATTAATGCATAGTTAATGGAAAAATCTGAATTCCTTAAATAATAACTTTCACGGAACCGGCAATGCTGCTAGCACTTCACCTTTCAAAGCCATCCATCTCCACGCAGTGTGAGCAGTGGCGACAGCAGCACACCTGAACCATGAGTGCTGGCTCCTGCCCTCAGTGCCTGTCGGCTCCTGGTACAACTTTGAGTAAGTCACTGGGCTCCTCTTGCTTTAGGAGATTTATGTGTGACCGGTCGAGGTAGTTAACTATGGCACCGCAGTGTCCACCTTTAAGAGGATTTGGCATGCAAGTAGTGTTCGTAATATCTTTGGCATTCAAGATGCTGGGCTGAAGTTGCTAAACAGGGACAAATCACTGTTTTTGTTTCAAGTATCTGAAGTACTTTTCTTGCAGCCAGTTAATATTTTTCTCCCCTTTTTTTTCTTCCCTTTGCCTCTCTACCCCCACTCTGGGGTTCACAGGCACAGCACTAGTTGTCCAGTGGGATCATGTACATCTGCAGGATAATTACAACTTGGGCAGTTTCACTTTTCAGGCCACCCTTCTCAGTGATGGGCGTATCATTTTCGGCTACAAAGAAGTAAGTTGGGTCTGAAAATTGTCATTTAAATAGACAAGTCACTTTATACTTGTCAGGAATTTCTCTACCTTTCTTTTTTTTTTCTTTTTTTTTCTTCTAGATATTTGAAAGTTCAGCTGTATAAGATCATTTTCAAATTCTGCTTGTAAATCCCTTTTTTGCTTAAAATGATTTTTTTCTTTAAAAGTAATATTCATGTGATGGACTTGAAAGTCACTTGCTTTATAGCACTGATATGTTTTTGTCTCTATTGAGATCATCTACTTTAGGTTCTCTACTTTTTCTCTTCATTCTTCAACTGTTCAGAATTTCAGTTGTTATTTTAGATGACAGTTTTCTGCTTGCTAGAGTCATGCTGAGTATATAGGTGAATTTCATGAAAATGAGTATCAAAAGGTAGATATACTCATGTGTGTAGGGGCAGAGTGCTTTCTTTAATTCTTCGTCATTTTAATCTGTTTGCCGTGGAGCATTACTTTTTTTCTTGAAAATGTATATGCCACATATGAAAAGGTAATCAGTGCTACAAGTGATCATTCGGACTTCTGGAAATTTGGATTCTATTTTATCTCTGCTACAGGCTAGTTGTGTGCTTTCAACATCATTTTTCATGCTTCCATTTTAGCTATGCACATAATGAAGCAGAAATAATTGTACTCCTCTCCCCTTCATTAAAATGCTAGTGATGATCTGAGTTATTTTACTAGTGGTAGTAATATATTCATTTGAGATACTTGTCTTTGCACCTTGCCAACAGCATTGCTGTGGAATAATCTTGCTGGATAATTTCCACAATCCACTGGAAACTTCCGGTGCACACGGATACCCGACTTTCTTTACCCTACCAGACACGCGCAAGTTCTGCTGTGGTCCTCAGTTTGTTCTTGAATGTTATAGAGGCTGGTAGCTTCAATCTATGTAAATACAACTTATTTCAGTTAGCTTCAGGAAAGCTTTGATCTTAGCACTGTGGAGCTTGTACTTGGCCACAGGGGTGTTCGCCAAAGCTTTGCTTTTCTCCAGTTGTTGAAAATGATAAATCTTCTGAAGACTGTAGAAGTGTTACTGCCTTCCAGGCCCAGAGATGTGGGAAGGAACACTGCTTCAGTTTGTAACTTCAAGACACATCCGACAAGAATGGCATATGAAATCAGGCATTGAAATGGTGACATTTTCAAGAAATCACTGTTCTTCATTACCAAATGCTTTGTGGTCTCTCTCACCTTCCTGCACTGTGCAAAATTGGTGTAACATGAAAGATAGAAACTACTGCTTTAAGATCATTTTGTACAAATGTAATCCATGCTGCAGAATGCCAGGCGATGGACACTTTCCTTCAGTTAGGGAAAAGGACCACTTAGTTACTCCCATGTGGTTCCCTGGAAATGCGTGTAACTATATCATGTAATCTATTATTATAGATTATCATAAACTCAATAAATTCAATTTTAGAGGTAATTAGGCTGTTTACTCTCTGCTTCAGTTGGGAACCTCTTCCAAAACCAAGCTGTTTTCACCACAAGAATTATTATTAGTATTCCTTTCATTAATCCAGAGATGGAAAGAATTGGAATCTACAAATCACACAGATTTGTGTTTTCTTCCACTGCTGAATATTTAAAATCCCATTGCATAGTACAGCCTTTCACAAGTTATTTTGTCCCAAATGCCATTATCAAACGCCACTTTAGAACTCTTTCAAAAAAAAAGATTTTTTTTAAAGTGGCAATAGATACATATTTGGGCTCTGTAAATCTTTTAATCAAAAAATATAGCCTAAAACCTTTTTGAAAGCTCTGAGTATCTTAACTAGTGTATTCCATTTGGAATTGTCTGGGGGAGGCTGAGATTTCTAGTACATCACAATCTGTATTTGCAGCCTGCCTTACTTCATTAAAAACAACTCAGCAGTTCTCCTAAGTGAGGAAAATTGAATAAAATTTCCAATCACTGACCAGACACAAGTTGTCTGAAGAAAAAAAGTGAGACACTTGTAAATTAAAACTTGACTGTGGTGCTTATAAGTCTGGCTAGGAATTGATTTATTTTCCAGTGCTGCATTGACTTCATTGCTTTCTGAGGAAGTTCTTCTGGAACCATTTCTCTTGCTGGTGAGTCATGTTGTCAGGAGTCCTGTTAGCTCTAGTAAGATGACTCGTGTGACTTCTTACAAGCATTAATAAAAATTACACAGGCATATTTCTGTCATGGTTTTGACGCCATTTCATATTAGCATCACAGTTCATCAGAAATTACAGTAGTGTATGGTGAATCCACAAAACCTTCATTGCATTTTTTGAAAGTTTCCAAACCGAAGCACAAATGTAAGACATGAAACCGAAAGGTTGCCAGTGACACTAGCAAGCATCCCACAGTGATCTTGTGTTACTGAAACTAAGAGTTTGTCCTGAAGAATCCACTTCTAAAATATCTTTGATTCTGTATTTAAAGAACATAGAAATAGGAACATGTACATTGAGAGCACTTCAGGTAACAGTACTTCTTATTTCCTGTTTATTAAAACACATATGAGATTTCTTTTTTTAAAGAGAGATTCCCCCACATCGTACTTGCTGAGCACATAAACACAGTGCTGAGTACAGAGGCACTGGGATTGCTGAATACTGCAAAACTACAGTTCTGCCCAGCCTTCTGTGTTCTGCACTTTGCCTGATAGAGAACAGTCTAGAATGCACCCATGTTATCCAAAATCCAGAGTCAAATGTGAAAAAGTGAAAATTTGGAAAAAAAGCTGGACCAATAACTATAGATATTGAAATCTGTAGAGGCATTAGAATAGTCAGCCATGTGGAAAGAGCCATGCACCCAATTTTTGAAAAGTAAAAACTATTTGAAAGGCACAAAGAGCTTTAGTTTGGTGCTTCGTGTAGTTATTATTTGCTTTGTACAGGCTAGTCTGACCTTAATAAAAGCCTTAGCTATTATATTTGTTTATCTCTTTTTCTGGTCCTCTTCTTATACTATAAACCAGATTTAATTCAGATTAATATCAGAATATCAAATACTAGTAGAGTAAAATCAGTATGAATAACTGATTAAAGTTGTTAGCACTGCATTAAAGTGAGTATATCAGTTTTCTCTACTTTCTATACTTGGCCTTTTCTATATTCAAAATGTTGTTTTCTGTATGGAAAAGAAGACCAGCCAGTTTCTAATGCATGCCAAACATTCACTCCTTATCATTTTACTTTGTTAACAGCACGGACAACTTCCTTTTTAAATACTGCTTTGCTTACACCATTAGTGTTCTGGCAAGTGGAAAGGAAATGTCAGGAAATAGATTAGCTAGACGGAAAGTTTTATTGGTGCACTTCTAGAATGTATCAAATACTTCTTCTGAATACATATGAGTATGTTTTCTGAAAAAGTATACTTTTGTAGGTTTTAATTACAAATGATCATTTCTTATGTCAGAATTTCATATAAATTCAATTTTTGAGAGCTTTTCTTCTTTTTGCTTTAAAAAAAAGTACCCAAAATCACTCTTCATAATAGTCCTTTCCCATTAGTGCATAAAGCTGATGTTCCTTAGTGTAATGTTTAGTTTATTTCTCTCTCCATGCTTAATACAGGAAAAAATTAGGCAAAGGTGCCAAAGGCTTTATTAATGTTTTAAGATATGTTCCTTAATTTCATTGAATTGAAGACTTTCTTTGTTCATTTAAATAGTAATGATTCTTTATTCATGTAGTCATCCAGAAACCATTATAAAAAATGCTTCTCAAATTGCCCAGTATTTGAACCCAAAAATAATTCTAGAAGGAGCCTATAGTAGGAATTCTTTCTATTGTGAAATGAGATGGAAATGATGAATGGGACTAAGTACTGATATTTGGATACAATTGGTGTTCCTACTTTTTGTGATGGAAAATATTCTGTTTTAAGTAACAAAATTCAAAACATGGAGACAGGATAAGGTGATCAATTTAAGCAACTTAAAATTCTTTGTTTGTGAGTAACACTCCAGTTGGTACATGCCAAAAATGTATTGTGATTTTTAGATTAATCAGGTTTACCAAAAATTCTGTGAGAGAAATTTGGTTCCTACAGGGATGTTCTTAGTGATACAAAACAAAAGAAAGATACATTATTGTAGGAGACATAGGGAAAATAAGACTATACATGAATTGCCAAAGTTTTACATTCAACATTTCAACTTTTTTTAAAACAGTGTAATTGAGTGCAACATATATGTATATACTTGTCAAATACTAGCAAAATAGTGTACAATTACCAACAATTGAAATAATTATTGGGAGCAGTATCGCAACTGAGACAATGTGCACTCATCACTGATTAAGTTTCATGCAGTTTGGTAATGAATGACTGTTGAGGAAACTGGCAACAAAATCCCTATATAAATAACGTTGAATTCCTACTTGTTATTCTGCAGCATACTCCGGATCTTATCTATGATTCAGTTTTGAAGAGGGGCAGTAATTGCACCCTGCCTACCACCGCCTTCAGGTTAAGGTCACAGGCAATCATTTTATGTCCTTTTAAAGGACCGAATTCTAATATATCCTCAAAGAAAGTTGAAACAAATAAAATTTGAGACCTCTCTGATGGAAAATGCTGTCTGGATTACTCTTCCCATTTTCATCATGAATTCTATAGCTGCTCTGTAGCTGAAATACACAATTGCCATCACAGATGTCAGTGGCCCCAGGATAAGATGCCTCCGGGAAACTCATTCATTAACTGGTGACTTGTAAAACACAAGAGCTTATGTTTTCTGTGGTAGAACTAAGGTATATTTAGAAATGAGTTTAGTTAAAATTTATTATCCAATTTTAATGCAATAAAATTTTTGCCACCCATTACTGAATACTTGCACATTTCTAGCTCACTGCCTTTTAACTATTCAGCCTGTAATGACATATCTTGTCATTTTGACGAGGAAGACAGAATGTTAGATATATACTTGCTATCTGTGTATTGCTATAGCTTTCAATAAATAGTTTTATCATTTATTACAAGCCTTGTGTCAAAGGGACATATTTTCTCAAAGACCATCATATGCTAAAACTTATTTTATCTTGACATCTCATTCAAAGGATTTCATCTATAAAGTACCACTCATAAACTCATTACAGAGAGACTGAGGTACCAGTTCTGTAAAATCTCTTATATAAATAAATATAAGTGTTTGTAAGTAGATTCAATAATATTGTAGTTTTTCAAGGAAGAAAAGAATGTTCCTTGAGTGATGGAATGTAGTTGTACACTAACAAGCATTCACGTTCCATGTGACTAATTGTTACTCATAGGCTATATCTCATTTTGAAGAGCTGGCTGTATTGATTATTATTTTATACATATTTATAAATATAATTATTATTTTATTATTATTATATTGATCATTAATTTATGAGACTTCTTTACCTTTCACAAACACCTCCCTGCTTCTAAAGTTTACGCACAAAGTTTGGCCTTTTTTGAAGCTGCTAGTCTGTTAGCCTGGACCTGCTTCAACTTTCTGCAGTTGAGAGGCTTGGTTTGCTTGCCCTTAGTATTTTTAGGGAACACTTCTCTAAGTTCTTCACACTCCTTGAAAAGCCTAACACAAGAGTACAGACATCTTCAGGGACTTTGACAAAATATATTGAGATATTTCTAGTCCAGAATTTTTTAATTTTTTGTAAGTTTTTATTTGCACTTTCTGTTTTACTTGGATCCAGTATCCTGTTTTATTACCAGACATCATTCATAATTTTTCTTATATAATGAAACTGAAAGTCACTTTCAAGCTCTGAACCAAGTTGTATTGAAAATAAAATGAAAGCATTTAGAACATTAGTACTACAACTACTCACCACTTCCTGCTAAAACAGTTTTGATTTGCTGTTATCATAATTGTTGAGGAAAGATGCAAATTATTCAATTGTTTACAAATTCAGAAGAATCTGTGCTAAGGAACTAGACTTAAATTAAGGAGGCTTATTCTGAAGGAGGCCTGAGACTTGGTTTGCACTCATATATAAAAATACATATAATTCTGTCGGCATATTCAGCACATATGCTTGAATCTATTTTTCCAACACACTGTTGGTCACAGTCTTTGATCACAATCATAACAACATACCCATCTAGATTTTGTGTTCATAAAACATTGATTCTTTTCTTAATCTATGATGGTTGAAGATGTATCTTTACATCTGTAGCTGCATCCTTCTCATCAGTGCTTTTTCTGCCTTAATTTTCAGTAGTTTCTCTAGATTCTCTCTCCCTTCTCTCTTTCATATTTAATATAAACTTTCCTCTATAGTATACTGATGTTATGAATAATTCTCTTTTTTATATATACTTTCAGGTTTGTGAAAGATTATAAGCTGTTTCTGATCTCTTTGACCATTTTATTTTAAAATTTTTGAAAAAACGGATCTTTTGGCTTCTTTTTATGTTGTATTTTCCAATAACTGCATCAAAGCTAAGCTGATATAAACCAGCTAATATAGGAATAGTATTAAGGAGCTGCTTCTGTTTTTCACATTGATTTAATATCATGCCTTTTTTCAAACCAGAGCAAATCCTGTATGCAAGAAGCTGTAAAAAATGCAGTCAAACCATTACGATTTCTTCATATTATGGAGACAGAGTTGGAAGTTTATGACAATATTTAATTCATAAGAACTCATGTTTTCTGTTCAAATTCTTGAATTTAAATGTTATCTGTAGATTTAGAAATCTACAGATGTAGAAAGCACAACTACATAATATTTTGGGAACGCAGAATGAACTACTGATGCTCGGCTTAAATGCTGCAACTCATACCATTACTTCATATGTAGACGATACTGAATCCTCCCTTACTGGATGTGCAACTAGCTTTTCGCTTTGGAACTTTTCTGCTAAGTGAAAAGTAATGGCCAATGATAATTTTTTTTAGCTTTATCATAGCTGAAGCCTGAGCAGGCTACTAGATTAGCTCATGTAGCACCTTTTATCTCACTCTCTTACACTTGATCCAGCTTTGTCTGTCTTTAGCCTGGGAATCACAGTTTCCCATGGTAGCTTATCCCAGTGGTTAACATTTGATCATAAAAACATTTGCCTTACTCTATTTTGAAAGCATCTGTCTGCAGCTTCCAGTCATTGCTTCTGGTTATGTCTTTCTGGGATGGATAACTGGACTTTTTAGCTTATAAGTTATTTTTCCCTTTGGCAGCACCTTTTTATGGTTATCAAATCAACTTTACAGTTTCCTTTCAAGAAGCCAAAGTGATAGAGCTCTTTAACTCTTTAACTTAATGGCATTTGAGAACTGAGTTTGAGCATTATTTTCATGGTTCTTTTATCTTCCTCAAGTCTGTTGAATACTAACTCTGATGTCTGGAGAATTAGGATACATTGTGGAGATAGACTAGCAGTCTGACCTGATTTCTCAGTGATGACTGCTATTTGTGATCAGTCTAGTTAACTATATCAATATTGTATAAACATTATGCGTAAATGTTACGTATAAATTGTATGTCACTTAAACATCTTACAGATTTCTAAAGCTTCTGCATCTATACAGGGATCAGCCAAAATTGAAATCTCCTCAAAGAATGAAATGAAGTTTGAGAAGACCTATTTTCATAAAACCATAGTGTTTGGCATCAATATACTGTCCTGCAAAACTTTACTGGTTTATTGCTTTTTAAGCCTTTTTCATTGTTTCTATAGATATTAGCAAGCCACCATCTGAAATTTTCCAGCTTTTCCACAACACCAATGATTTCCCTGCTCCTGTAACATTCATGTTACAAAACATGAATATCAGTGGGCCAGAGCCCTCTTCCGATAGCTCTTCAGTTTTCCATGAGACTTACCTGAGCCTTATTCTTCACAATTTGTGTGTTGAATAGTATGTGAGAGGTATCGCCTCCTCCTTCTGTCTGATACTAGCACTTCATCCCACACTGTTGTCAACTGGGAGAAATAAATCGCTGTAAAATCCTACTCTTTTTTTCATCATCATTGATAGCAGTTGCTACTCCTCTAAGCATAGATGTTTATATTATTATATAAGGTGCAAAAAAACGAAGTGCTTATTCTGACAGGGTTCTTGCTTTCAAACTGAACTTTTTGATTTAAATGCTTCATACATATCTTTCTGTTTTGTCTTCCAGATTCCTGTCTCTGTGACACAGATAAGTTCGACTAACCACCCAGTGAAAGTGGGACTCTCAGATGCATTCGTGGTGGTGCACAGGATCCAGCAAATTCCCAGTATGTATTACATAATGGGGCTAATGGTTTGTGGGCTGGGAAATCAGCGTAAGCTGATTTTATGAAGGATGATTAGCTGAACAACAAATCACTTAGCTAATTTCAGCTTGTTAATTCAAGTGTAATTTTATTTGCTTGATAACTCCCAATGTGGTTTTCTCTGTCATTGTTTCTTATGAGCTGATAAATTAAGTAAATAAAACTAAATGGCCAGCCAAAAACTGCAAAACTGAACAGTCAACCATCACAATTTGGCATTCCACAGGGTACTCTATCCGGAATATGTCTCCTTGTCCTTAGGAGAGAAGAAATAATCTATTCATAAAATTCTTCTATATCCAAGTAAAAAAAGCTGAAAGTATCCAAGCTGGATAGTGATATTTCAAACTCTTATGTACATTTTAGCAAGGCAAGGGAAGAGGAGAGTAATTATTTACTAGCGCCTTGGGTTCACAGGCACTTGGCAACAACAATACAGGTGACATTTAATTTTCTCTGCCATTAAATATACAAAAAAAAAAACTGACTTTCTTAATGCTTTTTGTTTAACGTACCTTGTCCAGAACCCTTCTAGACTTCACGCATACTTTACTTTCCAAGTGTGCTCTTTCCAATTACATATTTGGAGCAAATTCACTAGGTTACATTTGTGTTGTACCCCTAATAGCAGGGTGTAGGTGGAAGGGGTTGCATTTGAAAAAGCTTCCTAGGGCTGCCTCAGAGTGTGCCAGATCCAGACATATTCTCCTAATGCAAACCCTGGCAGAGGTGTTGAACAGACAAGGTTAATAAAGACTGGCCAAATCCAACCTGTCCATAAGGTAGATGATGGCTACCGTAGGAGCTACCACAGCAGTCACTTCTCAGACTGTTTTCCCTGTCTTCATCACATTTAAACAGTCTTTGGGATGAAGGAACAAAAATCCCAGGTCTTACATGTCCTGCTGTGGGAAAGATGGAAAGTTTGAACATTATTTGTTGCTCTCTGTGAACTCTGTGTGGTTCGAATGAGGTAGGCATACTCAGATTGCACCTAACACATCAAGGTCCTAGAAGGAAATTGCTTCCAAACTACGACATATAATTGTGATATGCCTGCAGTAACATGGATTATTTTGAGTGCTTGGCAACAAATTATTTAGGCAACTGATTTAAACATTTTGAATGTTGTTCATAAATAAATGTTTTGGAGGAGTCCTAGCCTTCTAGGTACTCCTAAATGTAGCATCTAGTAAAAGTTAGACTGAATGATTTGTGCCAATGTTTTGTGTGAACAGCCACACAGAACTCAGTGTAAAACATGCAAGTGCTAGGCAGGTCTTTCGTCTTAAGAACTCCATCATTAAACAGCACTAAAAGAGCTTTCCTTAGATTTACAGACTTCATAAGTAAAATACAAGGTATATATGAGTCTTTATTCTAGTTTGAATTTTCTTTCAGTAGAAAGATACAGATACATACAGATACATACATCATTCAGATACATACCTTGCTTTGCTATGACATAGCATTGTATTTGATTAATACATTGTTAGTATTCAGGTTTTAGGATCTTCTGAACCCCTTTTTTTTTTTTTTTAAGAAAAAGTCTTTAAAATTCAATTTCCAGCCATATGACATTTTTGCCTAACTATATAAAGTGATTATCATTACCAGAAAATCTTTCTAGTATTTCACTATGAACTTATTCTATTCATTAGATTACTTGAAGCAGTAGCATATAAGAAAAGTAGATAGTAGCTAAAGATTCTAAAACACGCAATTGTAACAACTATTATGAAAACATTATTTGCGGGTCTAGGTGACCCTGCGTGTGCAGGGGGTTGGAATAGATGATCTCTAGAGGTCCCTTCCAACCTTAAGGATTCTATGACTCTATGACTGTGATTATTTTGGCATTATTGTGTGTGATGTGCTGCTTTGCATCTGTGAATGATGGGAATCCATGATAACTTTATTCTTTACTAGTTTGCAATTTTCATTAGAGGGAGCCTTACAAAAGTGATCAGTTTGCAGTGGATTTTCTTGAGTTCATATGATGTGATCATTGCTAGAAAGAAGGAAGGAAAGGGCTGGGGTGAGTGTAGCTCCTGCCTTCTTGATAATCAGAGTAGAGACCAGAGTGAGGTAGAAGGGAATTAGATGTTCGAGTGGGGGACTACAGGAAAGGATCACAGAGCATATTGTGGGGAATTAGGATTATTGTTGGGACAAAGGAGATGTGAAACTCAAATCTGTGAGAAATAAGTTTTGTTTTGGTGGACTGAGAACAAATCCAGGTTTTTTTTTTTTTCCCCGAAATGTATTAAAACTCATTTTAAAACTGCAGATGTGTGGTTAAAGTGTGTTGGCTTTTCCTGGGCGTAAATAAATCAGAAGCTTTTCCATTAATAATAAAATTAAACATAATTGAAAATTCAGTGGGATAAAGCACAGATAAAGTGACAGAGAGTTACACAGTGATTTCTCTCAGCTGGATATTTTACAGAGCTACGCCTTGTTTATTTATTTCCCATTGGTCCTCTACTTTTTCCTCCCCCCCAAATCCAAATCTATTTTCAGTGCTTCTATGGGTTCATATATTTTTGTCAATGTTTGTAGCATTATGTTCATAACTCAAGTACATAGTTAATATTCCAGGAGGAATTGCTCATAAAGAGACTGTCCTCTATCTAGCTTAACAATTTTTGGAGTAGTTAGAAAGGTCTGTGAAGGCTTGCTTTTCCCAAGTGCTGAGCACCTTTGGTGCACTTTGTACACTAAACGATACTAGAAATCAATTCTAAAATTTCAAAGTAATGCTCCATTTTATTGAAGTTAATCTGAAGGATTTAGAATGAGCTATTTATCTTTTTTTTTTCAGACATGCTGTTCAAAAAGTTAATAATAATTTTGCAAATCCTTCTGAAATACATCTTTTAAAGCCAGGCAAACCTATTTCATTCTGAGGGAGGAAAGCACACTTCCTTTATGATCAGTGTTTTCATTTCCAAAGTGCACTTTAATGAGGACTGAGTATCTCATACTTGTTTTTGTTAATATGTTCTTTCATTTAAAGGCATTAAGACTTGTATTATCTCCTCCTAAGAATAATACCGATACCTATCTATTGTGCCTGTATTTTGTTGTCTTTTAAGAGTTAGGAGTATGGAGATGGGAAACACTTTTTGTCAGGTGATTTTCTGTGTTGTTTTGTTTTGTTTTTTGAATTTTTACTGAACCTATTGGTACTGCTTGAATGTGAACAGTGTCTTTCCTGCTTTGGAATAAAAGGTAATGCGTTAAGAATCCTTATCTGACACAAAGGTCAACAAGAAAAGCCCTAAATCCAGAGTTCTATATGGCAGGGATAAGTCCATCAATGAATTTCGGGAGAATTTCTGCTTCTTTCACGTAATTCAGACAAAGTGAACCAGACTCAAAATCTCAGCTTTTGAGTTTTCTGCTAAGTTAGTGAGACAGACCTGCTTTCTTCTCCAGCAGACATGCTGGAAACTTCTAAATGAATTTCTTTCCTCGTAACAGTGATGCTAAGAATATTTAATGGATGTCTGCCATTAAACAACGTCATGACTGTAGACAGCACGATTAGGGGAGAGCTTAGCATCTTCTTTCAGCACATTTTCTCTCCTCTCTTTTCTTCAGTGTCTTCGTTGTATGAAGAACTGGGCCCCTGTTTCACTGTCACCACTTTCTCTTCCCTGCTCCTTCTTATTTCTAACCTCTTAGCCATCCTTGGTATTCTCTTCTGAAACCTTTCAGTTGTCAGCTATGCCTATTACTCTCCCTTCTGCAAAATCCCAAGGTCTCTTTGTAACTTGGCCTCTCCGAGGTCTTTCCTTTCCTTTAGTTTTACGCCTTTTCTCTCCTTTGTTTCAATGCTCTCTACCTGTTGCCTTTTGGTCAGGTTTTGGTTTTTTGTTTTTACTATGCATTAATTGAAGTATGCAGTTTCCTGCAATTCATATTTTTTCAGTGAAAAAGCTGAAAAAGCAGTAAGCTCAGCCAAATTGTACATGGTGTTCCACTAGAGCTTGAAATACACTCATAAAATGAAATAGTGCCTGATTCAGGCACCTGCCTAGTGAGCTGCTAGGCATCCTACTACTAATAATGGTTGGATTTTTCTCCATGATGAGGGATTTTTTTTCCATGATCTTCATCTCTTCTACATTAGGTAGAGCTATTTTAGGAACTCCATACTTTGAACCCAACATTCAGTAACACTGAAATTACTCATCAACACTCTGTGTAAAATGAAATTGGAGCTTAGTTATATATTGGTTTCTTTCCAGTTTCAGCACAATTTGTGTCACTCAATATGTAATGTAACTCAAGCATATAATTAAGTGACATCTCTACATGTTTGACGAAGATATTTCCAGTTTGTTTACAGTAGTGAGACCCCTAAATAAACTTTATGCTTTTCTTCCTAAAGGATAAAATAAGATTTCCAGTTTATTTTGTCATATTTTTCAGCTAAAGGTACAGCACTAACTGGGAAATTTGAAAACCTGCTCTGTTCCTGCCTTGATGCTAATGTTGTCCTTTACCTCTGTGCAAAGTGAGCCTGTTCTAAATTTGCAGTATTTATTCATACTTTCCACTGGTGTAAATAATTACACAAAATGCCAAATCCTTCAGCCCTGTGTGTTTATCTGCTGGTTCAAAAGATTTTAGTCAGGGACCTGGGCATGGGCTAGCTACCACTGCTGCTGTCCTGGTACTGCTCAATCTCCAGAGCATTCTCTGTTTAGTAATTAACTCTGCAAGTTCTATTTCAGAGAGTATTTTTATGTCATTATTTAGTTTAAAGCCACTGTGATAAAACCATGCAGAAATATTTTGTCAGACCAAAATCTTGCACATCTAGAGTTTGCTTATCCATTGCTTAAGCCCTTGAAAGGATTCTTTCAATCGGCCTTCTGAACCCACATGCTATCTCTCTAGGGCACTGAGGCATGTACTTACCTCGAGTGGCTGATTTTTTCTTCCACAGTTTCTGATGGAAATGTGCTTTGGCTCTATGTTCAAAGACAGCATGTTTATATGCTGTGGAAAGAAACGAAAAACAATTTGTACTATGCTGTAAATGAAACCAAATGTATAAAAAAGACTCTATTATTGAAAAATTATAAGGTATTCATATCATTCAATTAAAGAGGGCATTTGAAAAACTCAGAATGAGTTAGAGAATATTAATTTTTTTTCATAAATAGGAAAATGTATGCAGATTTATGAAAAAAGTCCTGAATCGGGAATTGTACCTTAAAAGTATGTAGGTATGCCATGAGTCCTCTTCCTTTCTTACCTTTCCTGACAGGACATTAGAATGTTTATTTTCAGGAAAATGCTTATACCTGAAGCTTATATTTTGTCTGCTGATTCACTTGTATTTCTAGAGTTACAAGAAATACTTGAGCCAATGTGTACTTGAGCCATTAAGCTTTGGGTCATTTTACATTTATATTTCTTTTGTAAAATATCTAAACAGACAGTATAAAAAAAGAACAACTTCCACCTGAATGAAAGGTAGCCTGTGTCTTGGGTTGGACAGGGCAGCTATCAGGGGCAGGGAGAAGAGTCTTCATTTTTCTGGTTACCTTGCTGGGTTTATCTTTTCTAGAGGGGAAGAAGTGGCCTTAGATTTCTAAACAGCAAGGAGTAAGTGCATTTTGAGGCGCTATGCACAGTATGCTTCAAATAAGACTTTAAAATGAATCTGCAACAGCTTTTTTACAGCTTCTCCCTACACAGAAACGTGAAGCCTTGTGCGTCCAGCCATCTACCTCCAAGTACATATGAAGCAGTTAGGACTTCACTCTGCAAGAGTCTCTCTATGCTCAGATTTCTTACGTTAGGTAGATCTGCAAATCCACAGCCCGCCATAGGCATGATCTTCTTCCTCGTGAAGAAAAGATCCACTAGGAATGGCATTTAGCTCTGATTTAATGGGATCAGCAGTGATACTGAGCTATGCATGACTAGAAATGATTTCAGGGAGATCAAATATAATGCTCTTCACATCAGTGTTTATTAGCAGTTTCATGCATGGGGTTAGATAAAAATGTCAGTGACCTGAATCACTAATTCTCACTGAGTTTTGGGAAACCAGAAACTCCTTATTTCTTGCAAGCTCTGAGAGAAATCTATTAGGGAAAATTCTGAGCAAAGAATACAGCATGCCATTCTGTACTGCTCCTGATGAGATCCAGCAGATGCCAAGTCTCACTGCTTTAATTTATGTATTCTTTTACTTATTGCTTTGGACAGAAGGATTTCTGTGGAAACAAATTAAGCTTCCAGTATTGGACGAAGTTCATTTCTAACACATTTCTTAATCTCCCTGCTATGACAAGCGCTCTCTGGGAAGCCTAGGTCTTCTGCGGCTGGCGAGCATTTTTCTCCACCCCAGCATAAGATTAGCTTGATCTTTAAGGCCTTTTGTGCCTAGCAGGTTTGTAGGATGTGGAAAAGTATAAGGCATCTCCTAGGCATGAAGTTTGCATGTCCCAATATCTGGCCTTAATCCAGTCAGAAAGACTATGCAGGTAAAATGTGCAAACTGGCCCAGTTAATATGTGCATTTGAGACTAAGAAGCCATAGCTAAGTTAGCCATAGCTAAGTTAGCCAAATAATTGACAGGAGGATCTGCTTGGCAATAGAGATGTTTTGGAGCTAAGTAGAGATATTGTTGACTGAAAGGGAGATCTTGCTTTCCTGCAAGTTAGAGCTTTTACAGGGAAGAAGGACAAGGAAGCTGCTTCCTCCAACATGACTTTGTATCCAGAGTTACACTTTTAGAGGTTTGTTGTCTCTCTTTTGCCAGTAAGACTTGTCTCCTGGCTTAGGAGACATAAGCGCACTTTTTCTTGTCCCTTAGGGGTTGTTATTTATTATTTGCTTTATTTTAGTTGAGGTTCCATCTTTTTATTTGAAAAATGCCTACCAGAAGATTGTGAAAAATACTTCTGTTTTGATTCTGTGTAATTGTCCAGAATCTGGGAAGCCCAAATGTACTCACTCCAGGCTGCCGAAACACAGTTTTTGTATTAGTAAACAGTGTGTGCCTGGTCATACAGAGCTGGCAACCACCTGCTGTTAAACTTGTGGCTATCTGAAATTCTTTTCTTCCATTGCACATAAATTCAGCCCACACATTAACCAGAGTAACCTGCTAATCCTTCGTATGTGCCCATTTATTCTTCTGAAGTGATTCCACAGAAAATCTGTGATGGCATTTAGCATTGATGTCAATTAAAGTTTAGCAGTCCTTGAAAAGGGACATAATTTTGAATCCAGAATGACAAAAAAATGATCATTTGTTTTGTGCTTGGGTATGGTCATGTATGTGTTCAAAGCCCGTAAGAACAGTGTGTTGACTATCTACCTGCTTTGAGAAACTTAGGTGCAATCAACTTGTGTAAAGATTATACATTGCCTGTTTAGGAAGAATGACTTGCATCCTTTAATATATTATTATTATATAAAAAATTGTGCTAGTGCATTTGGATATAAACTAGCTTGAAGCTCACAAATTTGATTAAGCAATGAAATCAGTTTAGTTTGCACATCTTGACAGCAAATGACAAACTGAGCATATAAAGTGTTTCTCTCAAATATGTAAGCTGAGAAATATCTTAGGATAGCAAGCATCTGACATATACTTTAAAATGTCTGGCAGTATACCCACTAGAATTTCTGCCTAAATGAATGAATAGAATGCTTGAGAGCTCACTCAGCATTTTCACAATCCTTTACTGGGGATAGGTACCTATTCTGTCAGCTCTGATGGTTTCTAAAGTGAAAAACTCCGTATCTATCTGGAGCTTGAACATTTTCCTTTAAGATGTCTAATGTTAAAAATGTATCCTTGAGGAAAATTGGTAACGTGTTCACATAAGGTACAGTAAGCAATCATTATATCCCCTATTTTTCACAAGATACAGACAGCAAAATAATAAACTATGAAAATATTTTTATTTTTCTTTTCTCTGTAGATGTCCGTAGAAGAACAATTTATGAGTACCACAGAGTGGAGCTGCAGATGTCAAAGATTACCAATCTGTCAGCTGTTGAAATGATACCTCTACCCAGTAAGTAAAAAACACTGCTTGGAGACAAATTTGGGGGAGAATTCCCTTTCCCACACTTCTCCCCCATTCCCTTCTTCCCCGCCACACACAATTTGAAATATTTTCCTTTATTAATGTTTCTGGAATCATGGATAGATGAATTTATCCTTTCTCAAATTTATTCCCAGCTGGATGATGTACTATCCAAAGCATCCTCCTGTTTCTCAAGTTAGTTTATATGTATTTATCTTCAAGCAGGTCATAAATGAAGTCTGTGCCAAGTCTTTTTTTTCAGAAGGTTGATTATATGATGTGTAAATTTGTTTCCTTATGAAAAGGAACAATTTTCATTCTTGCAAGACAAACACAGACACTTCTACAGTGCATGCCATCTCAAAGGAACATCCCCAAGCACATTTTACAGTGCCTCTTTGTTTTACAGTTCATCTGCCTCTTTTGTCCAGGGTAAAACTACGTTGTTTAGAAATCTCTGAGTTTAAATTGCCAGATGCTCTACTTTGAAAAACTGGAAACCATTACATTCCATTTTTTTCCAAATCCAATTATGGTTCTTGCACACTTTCCTGCCAGTCTGATTTTCTGCATTTGTGAGAATGTCAGCTACACCCAGGAACATGGGTGCCAGGGAAGAAGGAGATTTAAGAAAATGCTTAATACTAAGCAGAAAGATAAAAATTTAGCTATAAAGCTGACAGAATAGTTGTGGGAATGAGATTACGTTTACAAATGTAATACAAATCAAATCCTACAGATAAAATGTACCACTGTGCACATGGTTGTGCACTGCATTAGTGGTTTTAGTGTGTTATTTTGATCATCTCTGAATTTGTTGCTTTCCTAAAAAAACATTCTCAGAAGATACATGCTTTTTTGCACTTGTGAGAATTATTTCTGTGACTAATGTAATAATTTGTTTGTTTATCTACTTCCCAGCTTGTCTCCAGTTTAACAGCTGTGGTCCCTGTGTCACTGCCCAGATTGGCTTCAACTGCAGTTGGTGCAGTAAACTCCAGAGGTAAAGCAAACACATATTTTTTGATTTGGATATATAGCTGTGGTCAAAGAATACCCCAAACATTTGCCTGTAGGTGATTCAACAGAGATAATTGTTATATATAAAGTTTATATATGGACTTTCACATGAACATCCACCTCCATTAGCAACACACCATTGTCCCATTTCACTTCAGCAAAGAAATTAAGCAAGAAGGATCAAAACAGTTGTTTTAGAAGCTAATCCTTTGTTTCTATAGTCTTAATCCTGCTTTAAAAGCCTTTTAAAGAAAATAGAAATAAAAAATAGAATTAAAACATATTTTCTGGCATTTCTGGGCATATGTTTTTTGGGCGTTAGTGTGCAGTAGTGAGTATCTGTTGGCTTTGGGATGAGCAAAGTCAGTTGTTCTATAGCCAGTATTCTCACTTCTGTTTGGATAAACTCAAAAATAGCTGGTAAGATTTGAAGAGATGGCAAGGTTCAAACCTTTTAAAAAGGAACAGGCAAACCTAGAAACCCTTTGTGTTTTTTTCTGTAATTTTTGAAAAAACAGTTTCCTGGGTTCTACAACTGCTGGAAAATCTGACTCACTCACAAATTACTGGAAGACCTGAATGGTATTATTTTCACCATTAGCATTAAGCAACACAAGAAATGTAATTGCATTGCATCCCTCTCCATGTATTTTAGATGAACATGACCCTTTCCCTCAAAACTGCCACAGCAAAAACTATGCTGAATAGTATGCCATGTAACACACCTACTTCTGTTCAATCAAGTTTTCTTGAAGGAGATTCTTGGTTTTTTTTTTCCTGTGAAGATCACACCGCAATCGAAGATGAGCCACTGTCCTGTTTTCTGAAAACTGCTAGCACTGTGTTGCAATGGTGTTGTGCCTTTGATGAGGAGCAGCAGGTAGAAACTATTAATTAGACCATTACTGATAGTGATGAGATTCTCATTTCATGCAGACTGTATTTGGACATTATTTGACTAGCAGCAAGAGGAGAAGTAATTTCCTTAAAACAGAGTAGATCCAGGAGAGCAAACTAAGATTTATGCCTCTGCATAGCATGTATAACTGTACTAGTTTATACACAAGCAGTTTAGAAACAGTCATACCATCCAATCTGCCTGTATAAAAAGGCAAAGAGGGGTAGTAAAGCCAAGTTTAAGTAAATGGAGGAATGTGTATAGAACCATAAAGCAGTTCAGGTTGGAAGGTTCATCGAGAGGTCGCTTACCCCAGCCCCTGTTCAAAACAGGGTGACTTATGAGATCTGATCTGTTTGTTCATGACTTGGTCCAAGTGCATCTTGAAAACCTCCAAAGATATGCTCCAGGCCAATGAAGATCTTGATTTATGCTTCATTTTATACCTGGTCTTTTAAAACCTTATTTCCTTCTGAAACAAGGTTATGTGATAATGCTGTATCTTGCAGGCTCCACTTCTATGTTTCATCCTATTTCCCTTTCTGAAACTAGCAGCTTTTTTCAGCAAATAGATCAAAAGTATGAAGTGGATACAAGTATTGTGAAAAGAGGCAACTTGCTTTCCAAAATGTGAAGATTGTGCATCATTGTAATTAGGAGACATTACAGTATCATTGTTCTCCAGACTCATTCTTATCTCAGCTTTGGAAATATTTTCTACTGCATCATTTCTGCCTACTTTACACCAATATCTCTCTTCTTTTACCTTCCTGTTCCACGGGATGTTGATTTAGATTTGGGAGACACAAAAAAAAGAAAAAGTATTACTACTCATTTTGTATGTCTGAATCACAGCAGTGTACTCAGAATCATTTACTTCAGAACTGCTTTAAGTTTTTACTTGCCCCCAAATAAATTAGCTGTAATAGAGTGCTCTTTTTGCGTGTGATAAAGAAGCTCTTGCTCAAGAAAAATACCTGACTGTTCTGTTTAAAGATTCTTGAAGGATAAAAACTGTAATTCTTTCATCATGGTTCTCCAGCATTTTCTGTGTGTCACTGCTCTTCAGTCACCAGCCTTGTAAAACAGTCACCCTAGACTTTTATCTCCTGTTGTGATAAACATTGCTCTGCTTCAGCAGAATAAAATTTGCTTGGGAAAACAAGGGCAGCGCATTACATAAAGTATTAACTTAGACATTTCAGAAGTGGTTTGTGTATAAAGAATATTAATATTTACACTTCACTTTACAATGAATGCTCAGAGGAGGTTTTGAAGCAAGCAGAAGCGGGTGCTTAGGAGGAGTGCATGAGTGATGCTTCTGAGTTATGAGGTAGAAAGTGGTGTAGCCAGCTGGGCAGTGTGGTCTGGGGAGTTGTATTTTGTGGCCACAGGCAAAGCCCAGAGTTGGAAATCAATGAGCGTTCGGTACAGAAGCCAGGACAAAGCATTGAACCTGTTGCTGGAAGGTTCCAGTGTAGTCATGCTTGACTACAACTACTCTCCCTCTAAACTCTGCAGAGGGAAGGTGTCTTTTTGCCAGAGAGAAGGCTATTACAAGGCAATGAAAAGTCATAGATGTGGCCGGACAGTGATGTTCCTTCTGCAGAACCACAGTAACACTCTGGAGATCACTAAAGTGAGACCTCCCAGGGCAAAGGGGCTTTTCTATGGACAACAAGGAAGCATGTATGCAGCAGGAAGTAACCGTCAGTTCTGCAACACTTTTTTTCTTTTTCTCAACAGATTATGATCCCATTTATCCAGAGCTGTATTTTTAGCAAGAGCAGCATCCTTTTTATTTTTCATGTATAAAATCCAAACTATATATTGAATCATTCACACAACAAAGTGCAGTTGTTGAAATAGAGAAAGTCTGTCTGAAACTCTTAGCTGCACAAGGAAATTTGACCAGCAGAGCCATTGCAGAATAATTGTACTCCCCCATGTGGGCGCTCTGTGTTTGAAGAAAAATAGCTTTATTTTGCAACACAGTGGGTTCACTTATGTGTAACTTCAGCCCAGCTAGTGTACCTACTCTATGGGCTGTAGAGAGAAGTAGGTTATTCCTGTAGGTGATTCAGAGCAAAATTCTCTGAGCAAAATTCTCTACTCTTGATACTGTGAACAGTTTAAATCACAGTTTTACTATCATAAGGAATTGTCACACTATTCACTCTGAAATCCTGAATGAGGTATGTCATGCAGTCACACCACAACCAAAGCAAAGGCACATCACCTTCATTTAAGTTCTTCAGCAGATGGAGGATCCCCAAGGATTTAAAAAATAATGAAAAAACTGTAAACATGGATAAGAGAGAGAACCATTCCATGGGTAAAAGAGACTAATATGAATAAATATATAAGCTAAGATAGTATCACAGCTTTCTTCTACACCAGTGTTCTGGTGTAGGAGATAACACCGGAAATATTTGGCATCTAGTAGTAGTCATCTGTGGTTGAAACTTGGATTATCTTCTCTATATTATTTCTCACTTTCCAACACGTAGATACTGAGAGAATTCATCCATTTATATCATCTTTCTGTGCTTCTGAAAATGTTTATATACCCTAGACACTTCGTATAGCACGCATGTTAGAGAGGTCATTTTTTAGGAAAAGAATAGGAAGTTTTAATGGGCAACTTTGCCATTACATTACAGGTTCAATTTGTACATTTTGCTCACACTGCCGAAATAATGAGTTCCCTTGGAAATATGTAAGGTTAATTGATCCAGAAATAAATACTGTTTGTTAAGGAAGAGCTGGCACTAAACTAGTGTGGAAATATGATGCCTAAAAGATCGAGAAATCTTTTAAAAGCTACTTCTTTACAGTTTTGCAATGATTTTTTGTTCATATTCTGTTGATAATGATATTGTTTCAGTGAACCTAAGCAAGGTCTCAGACCTTGGCAATGAAATGGAGCTACTGATATTTCAGTAAGTTCAGAAATAAGCACACAAAGAGCACAGTCCTGCATTCTGTGCAGGTTGGAAGTTGCACTGTGTGTGTTTCACTTCTTTACTACAGCAATGTATCTCCCACACAAATAAAAGTGTCTCCCAGTCCTTGAAATGTCCTTCCAGTTCAGTGTGGTACTAACATCCCAGCACTGGGCCTAGGGAACTGAAGTGCGGAAGGATTAAGGCCAAGAGCCAAGAACAGTTTAGAAGATATCTTTATTCATCTTTCAATCTTGATACAGATGGTAGAGGTATATTCAAATTTTAAGTTCTTGGACCTTGCTGCACAAGTGTGCTTAGCCAGCTGACTTTCAAAGGAATATATGCTGTGTGAGAGCATAGCACCAAAAGTACCTTTTCCGAGAAACCCAGATCTAGGGCCGAAGAACATTGAACCACATTGATCCTCTAGTGCATATCGGTGGGCTCCTTTCTTGTTTTTATGGACTGTCTTCTGAGCAAAATGAAAAATCAGAAGTGTGTCTGGGAACGGCAGCAATATTGTGATTTAAGTCTTGATATCTCTATTTTTTTATTATTATAATAACTGTTCTCATCTGCACAAATAATAAGAAAACAAGTTATTTTGCATTCCATACTGATTACCTGGGACATGGGAGAGGGAAAAGCTTTAGGCATGTGCAATTCTTATAATTGTTGTAATATGAACTGATAGTTTTCCATGTTACCCTTACAGTACTATTAATTTTCTTCTGAACCTTTGGGCAGGATTGAAATGTCTTGTTTATTTGTCCTTGTTTTATCTAGAAATTGGAAATATATTTGCTTAACATTAAATCTGTGTTTGTATCTGTAGATCTTTAATATCAGGAGGAGGAGGTGACTGTGTTTGCATTTATTTGTTGCTCTCTGTGTACCTTCTGACCAGACCTATTTTCACATAAACTGTGTTATTCAAGTATTGTAGTAAAATTAATAATCATCTAATGTGATCAAAACATGTGCCTTGTATCTGTGCTTTTACACACAAAAATAAATATAAAAACATCTTCATAAATTTAGAAAAAAAAGATAGCACAGGGTCTTTCTCCAAACACAGCTTTCTCATAGCTAATTCTCCTTCATTTTTGTATAACACCTGTTGCCAAAATGAAGGTC